CAAGAATCACTGTTTTTTGTTGCGACTATCGACCACTATCGATGGTACTATCGACCTCTATCGATGGTTTGGAAGTTACAATCGTCCTCATTCGATGGGGCCCAGGGTATAATGGTTTTGTTGAAATGTATGTAACAGGCAGAAGGAAGCGTGGCAGACACCACAAAGTATATATATTCTTGATCAGGACGACGAGCTGAGTCAATGAGCTGAAGCCGACTATGGTAATGCGGTAATCGTACATTACTGTTCCAGCTAAGATCCCTTACTGCAAAGAGAAGAAACTGTTTTTGGACCGATCCGATATGATCCTGATACAGTTTATGCAGCGGAGACCATACATCTCTAAGATGGGACGCACAAGCGAAAAAAGTAAATTAGCCCAACGTTTAACAATGACAAGCACACTTTTGGCTTCATTTGTGATGGTAGAAATATGAAAATTAAAATAAAGTTTACAGTTAAAGAAAATACCAAGATCTTTGACTGTGAAGATGCGTTTTAAGGAAATGTTATTAATTTTATAGTCAACAGTATAACTGAAAGTTATTGTCATACATTTTGAGCAATTTAGGTGCAACTGGTTTGCCACACACCAATGCTGAAATGCGTTAAGATCATCTTGAAAGTGTAGATGACCATTTGCACTGGAGTATGGAAGGCAAAGTTTTACATCATCCGGTAACATATTTATCTTAGAATAAGAGATACAGCTAGAAAGGTCATTTATAAATAGGGAAAAGAGTAATGGACCCTGTGGGAACCAGCGCCGAGATGTTAAACAGCAATCGACGCCTACAAAGTAGAGCCCGTTACCTCTCTCTCTTTATGATCTCTTATTACCTCTCTCTCTATTCGGATTTAGTTTTTAGTATTTTTGTGACAAGCGAAGCGGCCGCATTGGAGCGGAAATATATATATCATATTATTTTCGAAATCAAGTGTTTCATTGAAAGTACCGGGTTATTATATTGGCGACGAGGTAAAAAAAAAAAAAAAAAACAAAATATGACAAGATAATTATACTTAAAAAAAAAAATTAACAGAACGGTGAAAAGAAATAGCAATATAAATGCAGCGTGGCTGTGTCAATGTATTTCCAATGCCTGGCTAGAATCCGTTAGTTTTCTTTGTTTCTTGTCGCGTTGCGTTCGTCGTGCCGTTCAAAGAGAAAAAAAAGAGACATATTCTAAAGAGAAACCCTTAAGCGGGGTAATCGCAGTAGGTTTAAAATATGAATGTACACACGTACGCGTACACATGACATGGACATGCAAAACAAAGTAATATGCGTTGCTCGTTGGTAATTTAAAGGAAAAGAAAAGACAATAAAAATATTGAATAAGAAGTGTTATCTGACAAATGTCAGAGGCGAAATGCCGGTTGAATATTAAACAAATGTTTAATAGAGAGAACTATCTGACAGAGGTCAGTGGCGAAATGCCGAGTAGATATTAGACAAATGTGTAATAGAGAAAATTATCTGACAAAGGCCAGAGGCGAAATGCCGATTAGATATTAAACAAATGTTTAATAAACGGCTCTTATTTTATCTGACAGTGGTCAGTGGTAGACTGCCGATGAAAGAGTCAATAAAATGTAACTTGCTCGACAGAAGCATTTAATTAATGGTTGATTTTTGCTTGCAGACAAACATCTATAGTTGCTCGCAATGACCGAATGCGTCATAAAACCTTTTCTATGTGAAAAATGAATGGGAAAAATGGTTGCGAGCTTTTAAGATTTATCTGGAGGTGGAATATGTCAGATCAGTACTTCAGAAAAGAACGAAATTGTTGCATTTAGGTGGTACCCAGTTGCAGACGGTTGCATACGCATTGCCGGGTGCCATAGTAGAATTTAACAAGCCCGATCAAAATGATGTCTTTTCTGTATTAGTCGATAAGTTGACAGCTTACTTCTCCCCAAAGCAGAACTCGACTTTTGAAAGACACCTTTTTAAAAAAATCGCCCGTGAAGAAGGTGAAACATTCGGGAAGTTCATTTTGCGGTTACGTCAACAAATTCAAAAATGTAATTTCGGGTCTTCAAAGGGCGAAATGGAAGAAATTTGTTTCAAAGATAAAATCATTGACACGTGGGCTAGTACAGAACTAAAAAAGAAATTATTAGAAAAAGAACATACTTTAAACGAAATCATCGAAGGCTGCCAAGTGGACGAGGAAATGAATAAGCAGTCGCAGCTTATGCAGTCGAAGTCATTGCCAGAAACCATAAATAAAATAACTAATTTAAAATCGAGGAAAATTCATTAGAGTGATTGTGGAAGGTGCGGACGGCCGGGACACAAGGAAGACAGTCAAATGTGCCCAACACGTCAAATTAAGTACAGTCGTTGCTCTCGTGTAGGTCATTATGCCCGCAGATGCAGAACAAACCTTAAACGCCCATATTCACAGTCGAATAATAAAGAAGCGATAGGAAATCTCAAGCGCAAATATGTGCATCGAATCGAAGACGGGAACACAGAGCAGAATAAGACAGTCCAACGAAATTGTTTTAAGATAGACAGTGACGATGAGTATGAAGAGATGATGCAATGCAGAATTGGAGGTGCGGATGTTTCCCTAGTAATTGATTCGGGATCTCGATTTAACCTTATCTCGCAAGACGATTGGTTAACTCTTCAATTAAAGAAAGCGAAAGTTTTTAATGTCCGCGGAAATTCACAAAGCCAATTTAGGGGATACGCCTCAGATCAAATCCTTAACGTTATTTGTATTTTCGAGGCACCGATATCGATCAAGCACAGCCCCGAGTTGATTGCATCCTTTTTCGTAATTGAAAAAGGACGGCAGTCACTGCTGGGACGAGAAACGGCAACGAAGTTGAATGTTCTGCGAGTGGGACTACCGGTTAACAATATTGAGATGGTGCCACCATTTCCCAAGTGGAAAGGTAGTAAGGTAACGCTAACGATAGACCCCTACGTCAACCCTGTGAAACAACCAATGAGACGGATTCCGGTTGCGCTAGAAGGGAAAGTCAATGAGAAGTTAGAGGAAGCCTACAAACTAGACATTATTGAACCGGTCAAGGGTCATAGCCCGTGGATCTCTCCGATGGTGATCATGTTCAAAGGTAATGGTGATATTCGTATATGCTTGGATATGAGGCAAGCAAACCGGGCATTCTTCGCGAGAACTACCCTTTGCCGACATTTGAATCATTTATGACGAATTTAAGGAATGCCAGAATATTTTCACGACTGGATCTTAAGGACGCGTATCATCAATTGGAGTTGGATGAATCAAGTAGGCAGATAACGACTTTCATTACACCTCGGGGGTTATTTAGGTATATGTATAATGTTTGGCATCAATGCGGCGCCGGAAATCTTTCAACGACGAATGGAAGAACTCGTAGCACCGTGCAACAACGTCATGAATTATATCGACGATGTTATAATATTCGGGAGTAACAAAGAAGAGCACGATAAAACACTGGAAAAGGTTAGAAGCATAAGCAAGATTATAATGTGACTCCAAACAATGAAAAATGTAGTTGGGAAACAAACAGAATTAAATTTTTGGGACACATTTTAACAGACAAAGGAATTGCAGTAGATCCTGACAAAATTGAATCTATTAGATTATTTCGTGCACCCAAAAATAAGGAAGAGACTCGTAGTTTCCTGGGACTAGTAACCTATGTGGGCAAGTTCATCGCAGACCTAGCGGACCAAACAGAACCTTTACGTGAACTAGTAAAGAAAGATCGAAAGTTTATTTGGGGACCAGCTGAAGAAAATGGGTTCCAAAAGCTAAAGTCAGCATTAACTACGATCCCGAGTCTTTCATATTTTAACCCCAAAAACAAAACGCTATTAATCGCTGATGCTAGTCCAGTGGCTCTAGGGACAGTACTATTACAATTTAACAAGGATGGCGAGCCAAATATAATAGCATTTGCTAGTAGGAGCTTAACTGATGTAGAAAAGCGTTACTCCCAGACGGAAAAAGAGAGTTTAGATTTGGTCTGGGAAGTAGAAAAATATTATTTCTATTTGATAGGACTAGAGTTCGAATTAGTGACAGACCATAAGCCACTAGAAACCATTTTTAAGCCAACATCAAGACCTCCAACGCGTATCGAAAGATGGCTTCTGCGTCTTCAAGCTTATAAATTTAAAGATATTTACAAATCGGGAATGGAAAACATAGCTGATAGTCTGTCCCGCTTGTGTGAGCAAACGCCATCCAGTTGCTACGACATCAAGGGTGAGCACAGTATATTGAGAATTATTGAAAACGCTACACCAATACCCATACCGATATCTGAGATTGCTGAAATCACCACACTAGATGAGGAGATAGAAGACGCAATGGCGTGCCTTCAACAGGGCTCGGCAATGTCGAATAAATTATACCCGTTTCGACATGAACTGTCAACAATTGGAACAATCATGCTTAGAGGACTTCGAATCGTTATTCCATCAACATTGAGACAGAAAGTGTTGGTGCTGGCCCATGAAGGACATCCGGGCGAATCGGCCATGAAGCGAAGATTGAGGTCCAAAGTCTGGTGGCCCCAAATTGACAGAGATACCGAAAAATTTGTATAGAATTGTTTTGATTGTATTTTGGTATCGCAAGCGACAAATCCACCACCAATGAAGAGGACTGAATTTCCGAATGGACCTTGGATTTCGGTAGCTACAGATCTCTTAGGACCGCTACCCAACAATGAATATATTCTAGTCCTAATAGACTATTACTCCAGATACATGGAGTTTAAATTCTTTCGCTCCATCACATCTGAATCACTAATTGGGGCGTGTAAGGAAATTTTTAGTAGATTGGGATACCCGAAAAGGTTACGAACCGATAATGGCCGACAATATGTAAGCCTTGAGTTTAAGAATTATTGTAAATCGTGCGGCATAGAGCAAATAACAACACCTCCTTATTGGCCACAAGCCAACGGTGAGGTCGAGAACATAAACAAGGCTTTACTCAAGTGGTTGAAAATAGCTCATCAAAACAAAAGGAATCTTATGGAGGAAATTCAAGCTTTCACACTGATGTACAATGTAACTCCTCATGGAACCACAGGCACCGCCCCTACGGAACTGATGTTCAATCGAGTAATTAGGGATAAAATTCCAGGAATACAAGATTTAGTGGGGGAGCTCGCAGACTCAGCGGAGAGGGATGAAGATTGTAGTAATACACAAAAGGGAAAGGAAGTTGCAGACAAAAGGAGAGGAGCAAAGGAAGTAAATATAAATGTAGGAGATAAGGTGGTTCTCAAGAATGTAGTTTTTCCCCACAAATTAACACCAACGTTTGACACTACTGAATACGAAGTCTTAAAAACAGAAGGGAACGCTCTTAAGAAGTGCAAATCACCTTAAAAGGGTCCCTGGGGAAACGAAATCGCCCGATGCCACCAACGCGAAGTCGGTTCCAATACCGGCCACAAACCAAACTCCACAGCCAGCCGATCAACTCGAGGAGCAAGCACCAGAAGAGGATCACGATAACTCCACCGAGGGACTAAATCTTAAACTCGTGAGGAAAGGAGGGCTGTGGGAACCAGCGCCGAGATGCTAAACAGCAATCGACGCCTACAAAGCAGAGC